GCAAAGAACATGTTAATATTGAACTTATATGATGGATCTTTTACATTTCTCACCACCAAACAGAAGCACCTCACCTTTGGTTCTTTAAATTCAAGGTCCTCTCCATACTGGATGGTGAAGTCTATGTGCTGCAGGACTATGTTGATACTTTCCTCATCAGAGCGATCAAAAGGCAGAAATCGAACCATCCCGTAGTCATCAATCTGGAGAAGGGATTCAGAGCAGGTTAGGGGGGAAAAACCAGGAAGATAATTCCCACTCACAACAGCCCAAACCACCTCTTTAGAGCAAACTCAGGTCTTGCTTGTCTGGTCTCCTGACATCCCAGACCAGCACCAGCTCCCCCCTTGCAATGCCTGGCTGGCAGGCTGAAGTCCTGACTAGTAGATAAAGCTGGTGCCCAAAATGGCCAATAGAACAGAATTCACAGAAAGTGCATCAAGAATCTTAAACTAATCTGAAAAAGATATACATTTTAAAAAACTGAGTTAAAATGGGCAAAAAGTAAAATGAGAATCTTTTAGATCCTGGCTTTGTCAATAAGCTTGGTTGGTAAATCGAAGGCTTTGGGATGAAGGGGTTGGGATTATCACAGTCCCTACAGTGCCTACAACAGTAATGAAACCAGCAACCACAGCATGGCTTGTCAATACTAGATGCTCTGCTCTGCTGAGACCCCACCTGGAGTGCTGTGTCCAGCTCTGGAGCCCTCAGCACAGGAGAGACAAGGAGCTGTTGGAGAGGGTTCAGAGAAGGGCCACAAGGGCTGGAGCAGCTCTGCTCTGGAGACAGGCTGAGGGAGTTGGGGCTGTTCAGCCTGGAGAAGAGAAGGCTCTGGGGAGACCTTAGAGCAGCTTCCAGTGCCTGAAGGGGCTCCAGGAAAGCTGGGGAGGGGCTTTTCACCTGAGAGGGCAGTGATAGAACACGGGGGAATGGTTTTAAACTGAAAGAGGAGAGATTTAGATTAGACATCAGGAAGAAATGCTTCACCATGAGGGTAGGAAGAAACTGGCATAAGTTGCCCAGGGAGGTTTTGGCTGCCCCTCCCTGGAGGTGTTGAAGGGCAGGTTGGATGGGGCTTGTGCAGCCTGGTCTGGTGGGAGGTGTCCCTGCTCATGACAGGGGGGTTGGAACCTGATGATCTTTAAGGTCCCTTCCAACAGTCACCATTCTATGATTCTATGATTGAATTTAAAGTACCAGCTAAGAAAGCAATACACCTACCAATCCACATATCGACTTAGTCAGCTTCTGAAACCTTTTGCTTTTCAGTATATTTGTTGAATCTTCAATCATGGAATACATGTCTGGATCCAAGTATCTGGGAGAAACAAACTCACTGTTAACATGAAAAGAATCCTTGGCCAGGGAGATAATGAGACTCTGTGCTTTTATGTAGCTACAAAACCATCACTGTGTAACCTGAACAAACTAACTTAGTATCAGGAGAACTTAAAACATTTTTAAATTATGATGACAATTGCTAGTAGAAATAACTGAAGCATTTTTGCTAATATGCTTGTGTGCTCAACACAAGTTTTGAGGAAAACCACAGGGGAAAAACTTGAATTTTGTCATTTTAGCACAAATGTAGAAGTAACACATGAATAATTCAGGATGTTCAGCATCAAAAGCCTGATCAGCTCTGGTGGGAACATCAGACTGAATTCTGAGTGAAGTTTACCTCAAGATATTACACTACATAAAGTCATCTTTTGGAACTTACTTTTCTATTTCCTTCTTGGCTTTCTTGCTCAGCAAATCCATTTTGGTCATGATGTTAATCTGTGGGATCTCTAAAGATATCATTGCACTGAGGGCTGCCAGAATTCCAGAGATAAACTTTAGGAATATAAACAATGATGTGGTTAAGTACAGAAACCCACAATACAAACATGCAGGACACTCCAGCACAGACCACATCTAGGGAACATGTGGCCATCAGGCTGGGTGGGAAGTCCTTATCTCTGTTGGGAAAGGGAGGAGTGGAGCCTCCCATCTGCCATCTTATTTCCAGAGCCTTAAATCTGGATCTGCCACTGCAAAGGCCATCACAAAACTCAAAGCCCATCTCAAGATTCTGACTGCTAGATAGGGAGAGCAGCCTGTGCCCTCTCCAGATCTGAGGAAGCTCTTGGGGAATCAAAGAGGAATTTAGGTGGGAAGGGATGTTTTGAGGTGACCTGTTCCATGCCAGGGCTGAAAGCAAAGCCAGATTCCCAGTCAGACCAGGCTGCTCGGGGGTTTTACACGACACAATCTCCCTGTGCCAGTCTGACCACTCCTGCAGTGCAGCTTTTCTTTACATCCAACTGGAATTTTCTCTGCTGCAGCCTGTGTCTGCAGCAGCTGGAGGCAGCCACCTGAACTCCCCCAGCTCCACATTCCTTCCCCTGGGCTAAACTAACCCAGCTCCCCACACTGCTCAGTTCCCTGTTCTTTAGCCAGATCAACCCCAACACATTTCACACGGATACCTTAAAAGATTCCACCATAAACTGAGAATCCACGAGAAAAACTCCACAGACGCGGAACTCCCACTGCTGGAGCTGCTCCACCAGCTGCTTCATCACAGGCAGGTGTGTGTACAGCTCGATCTGACCTGGGACACATGGAATTAGTGAGGCTGCAGCTCAGGGGAACAGTTCACAGGGATCAACTGCACGGGAGTGGATGTTGCACTACACAGGAATCAAAGCAAAGGCAACGTCCTGTCTTTTCAGACAGCTCTGTGCTTGGGTGAGCTTATACTGGGGGAGTGCAAAGAAATAAAAGGGTTTTTTTTCCCCTCCTTTGACCCCCAAATTAATGTTAATTAGCAGCTGGCACAGCATCTCCACACCATATGATGGTATCCAACATGAGTGCAGTCACCTCGGTCACCCAGGGATGAAGGTGAAACACCCGGGGGTGGCTCTGACAACTCAGCGCTGCAACAACATCACGGCCAGCTGAGAGAAGGGCTGTACCCGTGACACAGCTGACAGAGACCGCTCCAAACCACCCACACCTGCCTACCCGGGCAATCGAACAGCACGTAGTCATCCTCCACGTGCCCCAGGCTCTCCTCCAGCCAGCTGAAGTTGTTGGCCAGGTACTCCATGCAGAACACCAGCCCGCCGTTGGGGCCGAACCTCAGCGACTCGTCTTCCATCACATCGTCCACTTCGATCAGCTCGCGGATGTCTGGAACGACAGACACCGGCCGGTTCCCGTCCCGCTGCCCCCGGAGGTGCCCGCGGGGCCGCCCCGGGAGCCGCCGCCGCTCACCTGCCATCACGGGGTAGCTGAACAGCTCGGCCGCCCGGGCCCCGTTCACCCAC